CCACACACTTGTTCCTATGCCCAAAATAGTTCCAGGGCGATTGGGGCTTTGCCCGGTCAACTTTTGGGAGTTCCACTACGTCTCAGGCACCTTCCCTCCAAAAAGCAATCCCCTGGTTGGTGGCATAGTGTTTCAAAACCCAAGACCAAGTTGTCTAGGAACCGCAAGATCCCCTCGTGCCAAAAGATAACCATTTGTTGTCAGAGTGGGCTTGGACATGTGGGGGAGAAAAACTAGTGTAATGAATCAATTTGTAGCCAGTTCTTTCCTGTGTATTCTCTTTTCCCTGTTCTGCTTTCCCATTGGTGAAAATGATTGTACACTGTTTTTTTTTTTTTTTGTAAGCTGGATCTTTATACAATAAACAAAGTCTGAGTTTTTGCAGTTGCCAAAAAGAAGCTGGGTTGTCTCTTTCTTGAGGTCTAACAAGATATGGTTATTTCGTACTAAATAAAAATTTAATTTGGCAATCCCGAATTTTGTCCGCAAATCATTCATTTTCAAACTAAATTCATTAAAAAAATCATTCGTTTTCATCCATTTGGACGAAAACAGCCCTGCACATGCATAAAAACAAAAAAAGTAAGGAGGGAGCCGGCAGCGCTACCATCTCCCTTCCTTGTAATAAATAACTATTCCTAACCCCCCCTGCATTAAAACCTATGGGGGTCACTATAACCCCCATATTAATAAAAGAGAGGTTAAATCCTCCCGCATGCCCCTGCTCGCAAATCTAAAAGTATTAGTGACTGGGCAGCTATGGCTATTGCTGCCCAGTCACTAGTACAATAAGGGGGAACCGGGAACAGGTTAAATACTGCCGCATGCCCCTTCCTGTGCCAGATCTCCCGTGTAATAGGGGCATGTCGCCTAAACAGCGAGTTTGCTGTCATTTAAAACTGGATATAAAAATCAGTATTTTACATAGAAGTAATAGAGAGCTACAGTAAGAGTACATGTAACCAAAAGTTATAGCAAAAACTATAACAATCTTTCAATATGAAAAAGTAGCTATTTAGATCTAAATAGCTACTTTTTATACGTACTCTTACCATAGCTCTAATACTTCTATATAGGATACATTTATATCCAGTTTTAAATGAGAGCGAGCAACCAGTGGCTGCTCGCTGTCATAAAACTAAATATAAATCAGTATGTGGATCACTATGACCCCCATTTTGATAAAAGGGGGGTTAAATCCCTCCCACATGCCCCTACTCGCGGCATGCAGCAAGCAGGAGCATGTCACCTAAACAGCCACTGGCTGCTCGCTGTCATTTAAAACTACTAGTAACTGGGCAGCTATTTCAAAGAACTGTGTAAAATGACACAGAGCACTCAGATTGGTTTGGGTTCAAGCCAACCAATCAGAGTGCTGTGGCAGGTAAATGTAGAGACTTACCCTTCTTAAAGCAACCAATCAGAGCACTCTGAGCCTAATTGAAGGGCGTGGGAAGGATTTACAAGCCTTTCCCCACCCTGCGGAGCTCATTCTGCACCGTGCCCTCCATGGGTGAAGATGGATTATTTTATGTTAATTGTTTTTGCACTCAGGTTTTTTTTTATTTTAACAGTTGCGACGCATATTATGGATTTTTATTTGGCCTTTTTTGGGGCTGAAGAAAGAAAAAAAAAAAGAAGAAAGAGGACATCAAATGGTAAGTAGGAAATTTTATTTTACAGGGTTAGTTTATTGCCCCCCTCTCACTATTATTAGGGTGAGCTGGGTAGCTAGGGTATTTTTATTGGGGGGAGTGAATAGGGGCTTGGGGACCCCTAGTCACTTTATTTTATGTGGTCCCCACCTGCTGCTCATGGGTGGGGACCTGTGGGGGACATTAGGTCTCCCTCATTATTTATTTAATTAGGGTACCCACCCGCTGCTCATGGGTGAGGACCTGGGGGGACATTAGGTCCCCACTTTAATTTATTTAGGGTCCCCACCCGCCACTCATGGGTGGGAGCCAGGGGGGACATTAGGTCCCCCCTTTAATTTATTAGGGTCCCCATCCGCTGCTCATTGGGTCCCCATCTGCTGCGGCATACCGCGAGTAGGGGCACGAGGGATGATTTAACCTTCATAGTGACCCCCATTGGTTTTAATGCGGGGGGGAATAATTATTTATTACAAGGAAGGAGCTGTTAGCTCCGCCGGCTCCTTCCTTGTTTTTTGTTGTTGTTGTGCATGTGCAATGTTATTTCTTCGTGCTGTGGGGGTTAATTCCCCTGCAGCACGGAGTCTATAAAATGAACAAAACAAAACGAAAAGGTAATGCATTCGGCATTTGCCCTTTCGTTTAGTTTATATTTCATTTGTAGGTCTTTAGTTTACGTTGTAGTAAACGAATACGAAAACACCCAAATTTTCGGATGAAATCGTATTTGTACAAAAACTAATGCACATGTTTAGCAATGACCCTATTTTGTTATATTTTACCTAATAATTGAATTGAGCGGTGGATGAATATTTTCCAATAAGTAAAGTCATCGTCCATGTTTTATTGCGGATTTTGGGTAAGTGTTATAACTATGCCGGTCGACGACTATGCACTTGTCAAATACCTTAAAACCCCATCATCCCTCATTTTAGTAATACAGTACCTGACTATTCCTAAGCGTTAAGTAATTTGGAATTCATCCAACATGGAGAATTTTGCATCCCACTTACTAAACATTAACTAAATAAAAATTCAAGAAAATTGTATTTGGAATGCTTCTTTTATATAAAGGGGTGTTTATCTAATTACTAAGCAATTTAATTGGCTCCCTTTCAATAACAATTATGCTTTGTGTATGGAGTACACATTTGTATTTTACCCAATAATTACATTTGTATTTCCTTAAACCTGCAATTTTTGTAGTTTTCTTTTCTGGAAACACTATCCCTATAAAAGGAAGAATTGAGGGGATTAATAATTGAACAAAGATGTAATTTATAGCAGTGGTAGGAAAAGAAAAACATAATTGATTTAAGACAATGAAAAGGATGTTTCTTTGAAGCTGAGATTACATTAATGAGCAGAAAAGCAGAACAATTTTACATTTTAAATGAAAATGGAAATGTGCAGCGTTAATATTGGCAGTAAAAAGAAAAAAAAAGTGGTATGCATTAAATATGTATTTTCATAAACATTAAGCTGTAATAAGTTGATAAATAAGTTGAAAAATCTAAACCAAAATACACAAGTTAAGCAGTTTTTCAAAAATTGTTACTTGGCCCTAAATTATGCAACGTAAGTTTGCTGTTTAGTTAGTAAGCCTTCTAATAATATAAGATAATACACACAGGGTTGTTCAATAAACAACAGGTTTTCTAAACACCAGACAATGACTAACCACAATGGCAATTATCATATTGTTTGAATATCTATGGATTTTGCAGTTCAAATGGTTGTTTGTGTTATATGGCCATTCAGACGTTAGAGAATATCCCTGACAGTATGGGATGTGTCTTCAATGTTGTTTTAAGTCCTCTTGTTGATTAAGACAGTATTCGAATAGATTGAATTAGTTTCCATTTCATTTCCAGTACCTTTGACCAATGGCAGTCTATGGGGTTTATTCATTAAACAGAGGATTGTAAAATTTAGACTAACGTGTCTCTGTGATTCTAGATTTTTTTTCTAAAATAGCATTTTGGGTTATTTTGGAATGGCAGTTTACTACAATTCAGTGTTTATTGATATTACCTTAAAGAATGACAATCTGGAACTTAAAGAGACCATCTAAGCACTGTAACAAGTTCATCCTGCTGTAGTGGTTATGGTGCCATGAGTACTCTAGCTCGCTCCAAGTTTAAGTAGTAAAATGGTTTGAGAATAGTTTAGCAACTTACATGTGGTCCACCCAAAGCTGTTCTCCTCCTCTTCTGCAGCCCAGAAGCTGCACCCTGAGCTAGGCTGGCATTGCAGGTCTTACTTAGCTCATTGGCTGAAAATGCTTAGCGGACGCTTGCTGCCAATGAACTGTTCCTGCACTGCAAAGCTCAGCTTATGGGAGCTAATTCCTTGCTCCAGAGGAAGAGGTGGCCAGTGCCTGGTGAATCCCAGGTAAGTTATCAAACGATTCACAAATTTAGAATGACGGTTGATTGAAGTACTCCAGTGTGGGGGCTGCACACATATGTTTAGACTGGGTCATTACCACTACATGAAACCCAATATTGTTATCTACTCTTGGAAAGCTCAGATGACCTTTTTATTTTAAGCAAGTTTTCATTTCCTGTCCAGAAGAAGGCATGCTAACATTCAACATTTAAGATTTACATCAGAGCATAACAAATATTGTAAAGTTTAATTTCATAATAATGCAGATAAAATGCATAATACACATTACAGATTCCACTTCACATAAAAATGGGAGACATATTCTATATTACGTGTTGGTCATGCTTTTGTTGAGCACTGGCCAAAAACAAGAAACATGGCACACATTTAGTCAAGTGCTGAATTGGGTCCCATGCTGTCTCTTTGTATCGGTTTTCCATACACAGCATATAGTTGGACTAAGCTACGTTCTTAGTCATATAGAGGCAATATAAGGTGATATGAATATTATAAATATTATTCATGCATAGAGAGTCTATAGTGTTATTAATAACGCAATGATATTGGTAAATATCTTACCAATTATATTCTCAAAAATCAACCGTGAGAAAGGAATCTCAACTCCCCACACTCCATTTACAACAAGCCACTCAATTTACAATAGATCTAAAAACATTAGAGACATCTTAGTATGGGCTGATATTAGGCCCATTACCAAGAATAGTGAAACATGTCTATACACCACAGTCAGTGGTACATTTCCATGCCTTAATTGTAACTCTCCCAATTCCATTATCAGGGGAGATAACTTCACTCATCCACACACTGGACAAAAGTTAAGGTTAAAAGTTATAACACCTGTGAATATACACATGATGTGTAGTGATGTCGCGAACCGTTCGCGAACTTGCCGCGAACGGTTCGCTGCGAACCGTTCGTTGCGAACTCTGGTCAGCTGACACATCCCTGCCAATCTCCGGCAGACCCTCCCTCCCAGACCCTCCCACCTCCTGGACAGCATCCATGTTGAAGCTGCCTGGATGGATGCTGTCCAGGAAGTTGGAGGGTCTGGGAGGGAGGGTCTGCCGGAGATTGGCAGGGACATGTCAGCTGACTGGAGTTCGCCACGAACCATTCGTGGCGAACCGTTCGCGGCAAATTCGCGAACGGTTTGCGACATCACTAATGATGTGTTGTCCTTAAGTGTACTTGTAGCCTCCTAAACATAGGAAAAACCATAATGAAAAACAGAGAAAGTCTTAACAAGCATAAATCGACCATTAGAACCCAGAAAAAGGAACTACCAGTAGCAGCTCATTTCATGACACATAATCATAACATCACTCAATAATGTTTCCAGGTCATTGAACATGCTCCACTGATAAAGAGGGAGGGGGGACTGAAAAAAAGTTGTTGCAAAAGAAGGAAGCATATTGGATCTACACTTTGGATACGTTGTGGCTAAAGTGTCTGAAAAAATAGTTTATCTTCAATATAACATCACATTGGTACTTATCACTTTTTTTTCTTATTTTCATTACTCAGAAAACAACATGGTGACTACCCCTTTGGTAATTTCTAGTATAGCCAAGTGCAATACCAGAAATTACCAAAAAAATACATTGGAATTTTCTGGTATAGCCAAATGTGTAATGTGATCTTAGCTAGTATTTATTGTCTGAGAAAGATGCTTAATGCTGTATATACTATATATATTACTCACATGTGGCATACATCATCTCAGATCTCAAGTATTTGTTTTTGAAATAATACTCGGTGCTATTGCTGTCTGAGAATATGGTTCATTAGCATACAAACTACAATGATATAATTTATCTTCAAGAACATGTTAATACTGTGTTGAAACAATGTCTCTTTTAATGTATTTTCTATGAAAATGATGTACTGTTGCTTTAAATCTGTCTCTGGATTACACTTCTTATGTTTGTGGACCTCCTACTGCACAAATCATCTGACTAATTAGTAAGTGCTTATAAACACGCCTGTTTTTATATTCACTATACATGATTAAGGCCACTCAGGACGAAATGTAATATTTTTGTAGGGCTACAGCCCCCCCTAAATAAAGATTGCTTATCTGCACAAGGATTGTTCCCCTATTTGTGCAGAGCTATGGTCCTCCCAGGGAAACTCCTATAGTTAAACTGCACAGATATGGCTAATTAACAGTAAATAACACATACACTAGTATTCGTGGTTTAAATCAATGTTGGACACATGAAATACATTAATCCAAAACCTTGTATCTGCTGATCTCTCTGTGCTCATTATCTGATGTTTGTGTGTTTTTCTGATGCACAATAAATGTATATAAATTCAACCATTTCCTTTGAGTGTTGGGAAATTCTGCTTGCTGTCACGGAAGATTCATGTGTCTCTTACAACTTTTTATCTGTGCAGTTCTGGAACAATTACATGCAAAGAATACGCTCTGCTTTTTAAACAGCCTTCACCTCCTGTGTGATTTACCAAAGTAAGGACAAGGCTCACATTTGAGAAGTTGTGTCCTAGTGTGTTTGGTATATTCAGTAATTCCTAACCCTGTCTACTTCCTACACAATTCTTTTATTTAAATTTTATATTCATCTTGTTATTAACTGTACAATATGTTGTAGGAGTTGACACAGGAGGATTTTTTGTCAATCTGGTATAGAAAGTGTTAACTTTGATTTTGAATAAACCATTTCAAATCTGCTAGTCATCACATTTACATATCTTTTCTTTTTTTGTGTGTGTTATGTTTCTTGCAGAGAAATGTGTTCGGATGGTATTAAAGATGCTGGAATTAAGCTCTTGTTCAACCAGTGCTCACACTCTTACCGAGCCCGACCAGTCCAGCACCCTTGGGATACCGGCACTGGATACTGACATGCAAAGGTATGTCTTGGCCCTTCCGGAAGCAGAAACTTGGCGTAAGCACCGGTTGGGCTTGACTCAAGCTACTCAATCCTGCTCACTTCTGGAGCCTGAGACCCTTTCAGAAACTTTAGTTTCACGCACCGCAAGCTACGATGCCTTGTATGATCTTCGAGCTCGGGATGTCGAAACTGCCTTCCCCTTCGAAGGCAGCAGCATGTTTGAAGTGGCCACTGGAGTGGACTCAGATTTTCCCTTGAGCCCCCATATAATAAAACGAAGGAGAGGAGGACTCATAGAGCAGAAGGATATCATCAAAGCACATGAGGCACATAAGATGCAAAGCACACCTCAGGCGAGGCGGAAAGAGTGGGAGTAAGTAAAATTCCAATTGGTGGCTTGAATGGCAAAATGTTTTCAGATTCTATACTATCACTCCTTCCGGAGAAACTAATGGCAGAAAATTATAATTTAATTAGTTTAATGTATTGCTTTTTCTTTCTACATTCTTAAGGCACACTTTATAATGGTTGTATTATTATAGAAATCTATGGCATGACTATTTTAATCACAATTACTCTAGACAAACAGACAAAGAGGCCATCAATTCCAACCTTTCACATACTGCATCCCCCAACTATTTATCAGAAGGGAAAAACACATATTGTTCATACTGAATTGTGTTTCTGTAAGAAAAAGAAACATTTCTTGCCTCTGTGTTTAAATAATAATATTCTGAGGGACAATACTATTAAAATTAAACTTAGTTTGCTCTTTTTTCTATATTTTATAGCATAGAAAAGAATATGTTTGTTTATTTTTGCATCTTTTGCATCTGTGTCTTTCAGCTAAGTATGAGTCTTAGAAGGTTAGTTACGTAGGGATCTCCCCTTCCTTTACCCATTTGGCCAGCATGCAAGTGGTCCAAGGCAGATATGGGATAAGTCCCAAAAAAACCTCCCCTAACATTAAACATAGAAAGCGTGGTTAGAGACAGAAGTTAGATGGGTGTAAAGTCAAAACTGTAGGCTACTTCCCTGCCCAAGGGCCAGATTCATAAGTCCCTATACATGTTTTAACATTGATGATGGCAGGATTGGGGTTATTAACATGTCTGTTAAAATGGGCCAAATTACCACTTTCCTTGAAGAAATAATTGGTCTTTAATGGAACTTCTAGCAGGAAAAACTGTTTTCATATTCCAAGGAAGGCCATGGCTACTTACCACAAAAGGGATGCCAAAGGTGGTACCCAATCACGCTGGCAATAAGTTGTCTTGATCTATTGTTGTTTTAGGTAATCTGTAACCCTTTGTTAACTATTTTTGATACTGCCAACTTCAGTTTTGGATTTAATTGTACACAGGTTTAATTCCTTTCATAGAGTTGAGTACTTGATTAATAACTGACTAAAACTTTGTTTCCTGTTGAGATGTTAAGTAAGAGAACATGAGAGTTGTACTGGCTGGCATAGCTGCCATACTCCAAGGCAGATCTACCGTACTATAATAAACTTTGGTATATTTAATCATATTCTTAAATATTCTGTATTTTTTTAAAGTATATATTGATAATAAGGAGAACTCTGCCCTCTGTAGCCCAGATCTTCCAAAAATGGGACAACCACGGAAGGAGGAGGGTGAAGGAGTGTAGAACTTCTTGACTCGGAAGGCTGTTTGACTCAGTTGCAAGTTCATCCTTGTGATCTATTATTTTATGCCAGTGAATGTTACCATAAAAGCTGCCTCTCGATAAATTAAAACGTATCATTAAATTCACTTAGTGAACAAAAATAAAAATGAAATAAAAATAGACATGCTTTTACTAAATTCTTAACGTGGGCTTCTAGGGAACGAGAGTTCTATGTTCTTTTGATCAATGTAAACTTGTTTTTTTGTGAAAGTGCTGCTTTATGATGCTTTAAGTAGTTTTAAACTGCATGCTTTGTATGATTTACTTTAAATGTCTCAATTGACTTGTTAAGATTGAGATTCCAGTCTGTCTCTATCGAATGCATTATTACTCTTAGTAAAGGAAGCTACTTATAGTTGGAAAAGTAGTGCATATATTATTCTAACATTATAAAATTAGATTTTATGCCATATAATTTAATGATAGGTCATATTTTTTTTTTCGTAATGTTTCTCAGCAGGATCTCTCTTATACTTGCACTGTTTATGATAATATAATTTATAACTCTGGGATTCTTCTCGACAGGTTTTTAACTTCCTTTACAGAAATACACCCCCGCACCTTTATTGTACCATAAGGAATTGCAATTAATAATATGAATTATAGATTATTTTAGAAAACTGTGTATAGTCAAAATATTGGTAAAGAACTGTACTCTGTTGTCTGGGCAAACAGGGCATTAGAGTAAAAGTGATGAAGAAGCTATTTTTGGTGGGTATCTCAGTAGGTTAGAGCACTAACATTCTACAATCATTAAGTCAGATGCAGAAATAATTATAAGGAATGACTTTAAAGGGACACATTAATAATCATAACCCATACAACATGTAAAGCTATGTGTGCCATCCCTTGTTTATTTTATATTGACCTTTTTACAAAAATAAAAAAACATACAACACCCATTGCCCTCCACCCTCTCTCCCTTCTGCCTTGCCCTGCGAAACTCACATCTCTGTATTACAACATTGTAATGGAAACATTTAACATGCTCATTATCTATTCAAGCTCTTGTATAGTCTCAGCAGGAACTTCACTGTGGTATAGGACAATATGATTGGGCAGCTTCTGCAGTGTTGAAGGGGACTATAGCAGATCGGTGGAAATTGTGCAACGCACCAGTAATCTGAGACATTCACTGCATGGTGTCAGTACCCACTACACGATCACACACTATAGTAATATAGACAGTTAGGAAGTTAGAGTTCTGACATTGACATTGAAGAGGGCGATATTTTGTGTTGGGTATTTCCTTGGTTTTCGTCTTACTGACCAAAAAAAGTGTGGGAAAAAAACTAGGGATTTTACTCATGACATGCTAGCTAATCACAATAACCACTACAGTAAGTTTGTACAATAGATAGATGGAAAGCAGATAACATAGACAAAGAACTAAACCTGGTCCTACAAACAGAAAATAATAGAATATGCCTTCAACTTCCACTGGTTTTCCTAGTGATTGTACCACTTTTAATACTTCAGATCACTTTTTAGAACAGAACACTTTGAAGAACATCCCCCATTGTGACCCAAGGATCCAAGGAAAACATTGTGATCGTAAGGAAGACATGCTGCATTTTATCTCAGACACTGTTGCACTCTCATACAAGTTAAAGTTACCCCCGAGGTTGTGGAGCTAGCACCCTTCTGGAGGCAAACAGCACAGAATAACAGCCCTGGTTTAGGGGAATTCTGGGGCTTTATAAGCAGGGGCGCATGTGTGACGCAAGGCATTCTCCTTTTGCTTAAGTGATGCAGGCAGGGCAAACTCAAGTACAGTCCTGGACAATCGACACACTGGCATTATCTCTGCATATACCTGTGGATAAATGGTGTGGCTTGCATAACTCCTGATCATTCAGTGTTAATGGCACATCTTCTAGGATGTGCTTCAGTAATGTTGGAATTGTCTCTGCCTCACTGTCATGTGATATCAATACATAAGCATGACAGCGGAGATGCTCATGCATCCATGAACCATGAGGATATTGTGAGAATAGGCGCCGGTTTCTGGTGAAAAAGGCTTCCCACCTTTCACGTTCTGGTGTAAAAAGATTTGTCTTATATCCAGTTAAGGAAAACCTTCCAATTCACTGCACATGAGGCTGGGGCAGATTATTTTTAAACCTCTCCTATGGAATGGGGTACTAGAAAGACCACCAGTGCTACAACCACTTACACATCTATAGGACTCCCAGTGCCAGGATTATAAGCAAATGGAGTTAGGGTTTGGTTATTTTTTTCCCTGAATACGGTTACTCACTGACCTTGCCAGGAACAGGGGGGTTAAATGCCATGATAAAGATGAAACACAAGTAGCCAATTGTTTAAAAAAGTTAACATTCGTTTTAGCTCAAAAAGTTAAAATTCCCTCGGAAAGCCAATGTTTTAGGAAACTATATGATTAATCTTGTGAAATGATCCACAAAGTAGCTACAGAAAGGAGATTAAATTAATAAATGCCCAAAAACCTTTTTTTTCCTTTTCAAAAGAGAATTTTACGAGAGGTGATTTAGTGTATATCGTCTCCATGATGAGGAGCATATTCGTTGTAGAGATTTGGCACCCATTAATATATTCTGGAAGCGCTTCACAGCTTTAGCACCCCTTGTGATAATTCTTAGTGAGTTATATAAACCTTCTGGGCACTCTGCGAGAGTTTGTATTTCTAATGCAGTGGAAACAATGAATTACATTAGCATGTGTGACTCGAGGCCTTGTTTTAACAACCAGGAGAAGAAGAAAGATTGTTGCTTGCCAGATGAGAATAAGCAATATTACTACAAATATTTTTTATTCCCTTCATCCAGAATTTATATTTATGCCATGCTCCCAGATATTGCCGAGCTACTGATATCCTAGACTTTGCATTCAGCTACACGGAGGGGTTAAATACCAATGAGTCTTAATACCAGGGTCGGGAGCCAAACATAGATTCCAAAGCCATTTAAGTGGGTGCCGACAGGCCCAGGCTACTGCCTACAATAAGTTATTTACTATAGCAACTCTGCCTCCTCTTACAACATTGGGAGGTAAGAACTTGGGGCACTGGTGGACAGGTGGGTTGGTCAGGTGGTGACATGGTGAGGGGTGGGCCCACTCCGAAAAATGGTCGGTCCAACTGAAAGAAGCAGGTCTGCTCCAGCCAGTCATAATTATGGCTGCCCAGGCACAGAGCATGGTTTTATTTCAATGAAAACTACATATGTGTCCATTTTGACTGTATCCCAAACTAAACCGAAGTTATGTTTTTGCAAAATGTTATGTTGCTCCTTACAATGGAAATCACTACAAAAAAAGTGACAAGGAAAGAATACTCTCAGCCCTTTTAGTGTAATAAATTATGTTTTTCATAATATAAACAATTAAATTTTGTGTATACATCAGAATTTCTTATCAGAATATGGCTTGTTTTTCTATTTCAGCCTTATATAAGACAAAAATATGAAAGCAGGTTACTGTAAACACTTACTTTTACTTTTCCTTTACTTTTCTACTTTGTCAAACTTACAAACCACTTAAAACCCACTACATTGCGTTCATCATTCCAGAGGAAAATGACACTAAAGTAAAACTTAATTAACCATAACAGCAGTGTTTCTTTCACACAGATGCCCATAAATTGTGAGGAGCTGAAATAATTTGAATTGAAATAGAAAAATGGACAAGACATAGAGACACAGTGGGTTTTCATTGCACCGGCTTTTTGCTAGATTAATAAATAAATCCAACATGCCTGTCACCATTCTTTATCTTAATGTCAAATAATATATATTGAAGAAATTTTATATAACTGCATTCCCAAAATGGCAGTTTCAAATATTGGACAAGGAAGAAGGGAAGATGAAGATGAGTTTACTCTATCAACCGTGCTAGCAATATAAACAGAGCTATGACAACAGTAGATGGTTTATGTGCTAATATTATATGTTATCTATGTAAACGTCAGTAACAAATCGTACTAATAAATATAGATACTCACCTCTCAATGTCACGATTACAGGGTATGATGGTAGTCACCATCACTGGGACCATATAAACTTTGCTCTACGCTCTGGCAGCTGTTTTATTCAATGTTGGCCTTCACTATCCCCAAAGTTGCTCCACCTTGGGATGAGATTGTGTGGAACTGTGACTAGAGTTGCTGTTAGGAGTTATGGAATTGTGGGTTTTTGTAAGTCTGACACCTCTTGGGTTCCCCTCTCTTATGTCTAAGTTATTTGGTAAATGTCTTGTATGCCCTCCTATCCTGGGGATGCCTTTTACCAACTATGTGGATTTGGCCTGTGTAGTGCTATCTGTCGGTTTTAAAAATCTTGTAACAGATATGGGCTCTACCTCAACAGCAAAACTCATTAATGTGGATAGTCAGGGGACATATTTCTTCTCAGTGTTTGTCCTTGCATTCCTTTATAAATATTGTGTGTGTTGTAGTAGTGCTTGCATGATTCCCCATATAACTATGTTTTATGTATTGGATATTGGATATTGGAATATGTTGTCATTTGTCTAATGTACGGTGGATCGGGGCTAGCCCCGAGTGGAAGTAAAGTGTTGTTTGGTGGTTCTGTTGGGAATTGTGTTTACAGTTTGGTTTGTTTGGACAGACAGTAGCAGTTTTTTTGATCTGCTAAATGGCTGCACTATTTCCTGGTATCAGGGACATTTCAATAAATAGCTGGCCTGAGAGCTAAAATTGCCTTTGTAAATATAGTGGCAAAAGCTTGGCCTGAGAGCCAAGAGTGCCTTTTTAAAGGAAATAGTTGGACTGTCAATACCTGTCTGGGAGAATGAGGACAGGCATAGTGGACAACGCCTGCTTGGGAGGACAAGCCCTTCTGGAGGCCAGCCCAGTTGGGGTAGACAGAGCTGCTGGTTTGACCCCATTCTCGGTAACAGTCTCTCTCTCTGCAGGCAGTCCCCCATATCCCCTTTTGATGTTTCATCACACAGGCTATTTCCCAAATATACCCAAGCCATTAAAGTAACACTATAGTGTTAAGAATACCAACCTGTATTCCCAAAACGTTAGTGCCCCAGTCCTTAGTTAAATACAACCTTGTGTGCAATAAAAATAAATAAAATAAAGTTTTACTTATGTTTTTCCAGCGCCAAGACTCCATCAGCACTTCTTACCTCTCTGCCTATAGGGTTATTAGGCCCCCCCCCCCTCCCATGGCCCCCCATCCCTCAGCGCTGAAGAGATTAAAACTCCTTCAGCCACTTACCTTAATCCAGTGCTGGGCTGCCTCGGTGCTGGTGACCTCTCCTCCCCCTGCTGACATCAGCTCTGAATGCGCATACGCGGCCAGAGCCACGCGCGCATTCAAACCACCCATAAGAAAGTAGAACTCAATGCTTTCCAATGGACGTTCAGCATGAGTTCAATGCGATTTTCACAGTGAGGATCGAGGAAGCGGCCTCTAGTGGCTGTCAGGTAGACAACCACTAGAGGCTGGATTAACCCTCAATGTAAACATAGCCGTTTTTCTGAAACGGCTATGTTTTCAGCTGCAGGGTTAAACCTAGGGGGACCTGGCACCCAGACCACTTCATTAAGCTGAAGTGGTCTGGGTGCCTATATTGGTCCTATATCTGTTTTTAAATCTCTTTAAACAGCCCTTCCTGTAGCATTCCTTTTTACCTCTCCCCTCACACGATCAGATTTACACATTCATTTGTTGGGCTCCTGCTTTAATTCTCTTATTTCTACCAGAAAAAAAGGTTACCTGATATTTTTCTTCCTACTTTACCTAGTCCACTGAGATAATAGAAAATGGGGAATTTCATTTGCTCTCGTGCAAATTTAGCAACCTTAATCTAATGCAATATCTGGTCGCTCAATTAGTCACATTCAGACCAGCCACACATCCTATAATTTATAACCTAGAATCTACATGCAAAGGGAACACATGAAAAACAGCATGCTTTATCAAATGAAATATTGACACATTCTCTCTTATATTTGTCAGGAACAGAGGGGTTGAGGGCCCTGCTCAATGAGCTTACATGCTAGAGGGAGTGGGGTAAAACATACTCGCATGAGGTACCCCAACGGCAATCCTCAGGCTCATTGTCAGCATTTGTTACATGAAAGGATTCAAGGATACTTACACAGGTTAATAATGAGGAAGGGGGTAATGAACACATGCACATTTTTATGTTGTAAACAGGCTAATTACAGGTATGAACTTGCATCAATAGCTTAGTAGGAGCGGTGAGTGGATAGTGAGTCGAGTAATATTCAAAAGTAGATTAAACCTTCCAGTTTAGGGCGATATAAGTAGTCGCTGTATGCTGCTTGTAATAAGCTGGGTGGTTGCTTTAAATGTGGTAGATAAGATTCACCCCTTAAGCCCCTATAGTCACACATAGGTAGGTTTAGTAAGTTTGTCTCATCATGACAGAGCAACTTACGGTTGTGCCATGTACATATTATGCAGGTTAGAGTCAGTGGGGCGCTTTAGCAGAGTGTTCTTGTGAGTCCCTGTTTAGCTGATGCCCCCTGTGGGCTTTGCGTGTTCTCGCTGCATCCCGGCTGTCTGTATGTGTCGTGGTTCCTTCAGCTTTGGTCGGGAGATGATGTATGGCAGTCCAGGAGTGGTTTACAGCATCTGGCATGGGAGGCTGGTTTGTGTGGAGAGCAGAGTGCCGCAGGCTGAGTTCCGATGGTGTGCGCCACTTGGCTGTGTCTCCATCTCTTCCGCCCGGCTCCAGTGTCCTGTAATGAGTTTCATGGGGTGAATGTCGTGCTGGGGCACTAGGACACATGTGCCTAGCTGGCTGCTGCGGGTGTTGGTTCAGGAGGTGTCTGTCAGCTGCACATGTTATGAGTAGTGCGGAGAGATAGTTTTCAGCACTGGTGCACGTGGCCTCCGCCATCTTTGATAAAGTGGTAGTGTCGCTTGGTCCCGGATGCTTTGTAGCGGTCGGGCCCCAGGGTGAGGACCGGGATCACCCCCCCGGTCCAGGGGGGGGAACAGGGCCAATTCCTCGCAGGCCTGGGTCCCTGGTTGGGCACTGTTAGGCAGGACAGCGGAGCAGCTGCTGTCTGCTCCACTCACAGCCGGAGTAGGCCTCCACCGGGATAACGAAGGTCTCTCCTCCAAGGGACTGAAGCTCAAGGAGCCAGCCTCTGCTTGGATCCAGTGCCTCCTGTGCACTGAGGGCCGCCACTGCTGGTCAGTGTAGCCATCAAAAATCATAGTTTCAGGGTTTAAGTGTTGATAAATTGCAGGAGCTGATCCTTCTTGCGGCCATTCAGCTCAGCGGTCCGGCTCCGCCCCCATTCTTGAACAATTTAAGTAATCTCACTAGCGCATTCTCGTATGTGCCATTTGTGTAACTTCCTCTTCTTTTCCTGCACAATAAAAAGGCATGCTTTATACATTTTGCTGTCATGCTTACTACTAACATTCAATGCACTCCTTCCATCACGCTTTCCTGAAAAGCATACAGTTCTTTCTGTACAGCATTTATAATGATCCATCCAGTGTTGCCTACAGCCTTTCATTCATTTTTACTATAAACGCTTAGGTTTAAACATTGTGTTTGATCTTTTAAATCTTGACAAATAGGTGTAGCATATTAATGTATTCACTCATTAATGGGTTTCTAGAAATCACAGTTTGCCCACTCAGGATTTGACTCCTACTTGGAAAATGATTCCTTGACTTCAACATTCTCTAACAGATATTTGATTCTCTATTGTTATGATAGACGATATGCAAATCAGACACAATATAATCAGACATAATATAATCAGATACAATATAAATGTCATCTATCAGCAACACTCAATCTGCTTCATTGGCTTATTCACTAAACAATTGATTTACTGTTCAGTGAATAATCTCTCCCAAAGATTTGCACTTCACTCAAATATTAATACCTAGTGATCAGGTGAAATCCTGCCAACTATGTCATTTGTCTGAAATATGATAAATTAAGAAATACAAAATATATTCTTTTTTTGCCCTCTTAAAAGTATGTAATAACATCTAAACTGGCATTGAACAAGGAGAGCTAAGTGGAGCTATTTTCCTTGATTTTTCAAAGGCCTTTGACACCGTAGACCTCAACATTCTACTGCACAAACTCCAAAACTCAGGTATTGGTGATTATCCGCTAACCTGGTTTCGATCATATGTATTGGATCGCTCACAATATGTGTCCATTTCTGACAGCGACTCCCTCACTCTTTGAGTCACGTGTGGTGTTCCCCAAGGTTCCATTCCCGGCCACCTACTATTCACATTATTTATAAATGATCTGCCTAATGTCTGCAAATCCTCAAATGTACACATGTACGCAGACGACACAGTAATCTATGCAAGCAGATCCAATCTACCACAGCTTGAGGTTTTGCTCCAAGACCAGTTTACAGAGGTAGAAAGGTGGATCGCAAAAAACACTCTTCCTAAACACTGACAAAACTGTCACAATGATCTTTGGAACAGTACCTAAATTACACAAATTACACAATTCCCACCTATCCATCAAAACAAATTCAAATAGCACACTGACCGCAGTCTACTCTTTTAAATACTTGGGTATGATGTTAGACCCCAATCTATCTTTTGGCCTCCACATAGAAAAACTTGCATCTAAACTTTATCCAAAACTAGGTGCCCTGTACAGAAACAAATCCTGTCTAAGCCCTACAGTAAAGGAAAAGGTTGTACAGCAAATGCCGATGCCAATCATTGATTATGGGGATGTAGTATATGCATCTGCATCGCAATCCCACATTAATAAACTTAATGCATTGTATAACTCGTTCTGCCGATTTGTGCTACAATGTAATTACAGGATCCACTATTGTGACATGCTAAAATAACTAAACTGGTTGTTGCTGGAATCCAGACACACCCTTCACCTTTCCAGCCTTGTGTTTAAGAGCATTTCTGGGAAGCTCCCTCCCTACCTGAGCAGAATGCTCTCCCCGGCTGTTCCCACCTCCTATAACCTCCGATCCAGTACCAACACTTTACTTAGTCTACCTCAATACAAAAAGAAAGCAGCCCGATCCTCCTTTTCCTACAGAGCACCACAATTATGTAATAACCTTCCTCACACTTTTAAATCTTCCCCAAGCCTAAAGTCCTTTTAGAGATCCCTCTCTACATATCTCAAAACAGAATGCACCTGTCATAGTGGATTATATATTTCCTACCTGTTCTATGTTACATTTTGTATATATTGTGTATTAATATTGTTTTTGTATTTTATTGTACCCTTATTGCACTGCACCAGACCACTTAATTGAGATGAAGTGGTGTAGATGACTTTAGTGTCCCATTAAATCTTCTGCAGTCACCAGAAGTGGCAGAACTATTTCTTAAAAAATTATAGCCTGATCTTTGAATTAAATCAGATGAGCACTGCACACTTGATGTCACACTTTTAAATGTGCTTTAACTAAATGTTAAGATAAATCAGTATGGTTCTAAATACATCCAATAATTTGAATAGAATCCCTTCAATCTGTACTGTATATGAGCAGCAATGTTTAATCAAATACAGTAAGGATTTAGTGCTTATATGAATATCATCGTATTAGTCTAGCTTTAAACTGTAAATTTATTGAACCCTCAATGGAACATCAGCTAGACCACAGGGAAGTCATCCTCCTGGAAAATGAGGAGACACAGAGGTTGGCTAAAAAATCTTAAATTTCAATATTTGAGCTTCTGTAGGTCTTTGTTAGTGTATGTGTGTGTGTGTGTGTATTTCAGTGCGTGTGTATATATGTGAATGTTTTTGAGTGTCTGTATCTGTGTCAGTTAGTGTGTGTATGTTTATCAGTGTGTATTGGTGTCCCTGTGTGCCATGGCATTAACTATCCCTGCATGTGTATGTCTTTCTTTCAGTTTGTATCTCTGGATATGTGTGTGAATCTGTGAGTGTATCTACATGTCTGGGATCGTGTGTGTGATTATGCATGTGTTGGTGGTGGCCAAGCAACTGGGTTTTAAGGGGCCTAAAGTGTTATTATGGCAGCCTTAATAAGGACCTCTAACTAAGACAATCGAATGAATGAGGTATTGAGGGTACATATAGATTGTCCACATTATGTTTAAAGCAGCTATTATTTGATTTAGAAAGCTTCAACATCCCCAGTTAAGAGCCTTTAATGTTCAGCCACAATTGCAACAGCACAATATGCTAATTTAAACAAAGAAGCTGCAGTGGTATATTATTTCCCAAGCATCAGAACCTCAAACTAATTTTTATTACAATGGTTTCCTTATCTGTTTCATAAACGTGTTAACAATAAGCACTGTTGCAGAGAAAAAAAACAACATGGTAAGGTAATGTAGCCTCAATGAGTCATTTTTATATGTTCAATAAACAGCTGGAAGCTCTGTACATTGCTTGATCATTCGCTGATATTTTGTAACTATAATGCTGGGAGAATATGTGTTCTGTAATAATTTTAGTGGAAAACAATTTTGTGTAAAACAATATATATATATAAACTTGCATTTGTACATCCTAATGGTTAATTTTCTGGTTAATTTGAATATAATTTGACCCTAAACACAGATTCTTGGACTTGTCATTTATTCAGGTTACCAATGCCCCTAAGTGTTCAAGGGACATATTGTACACTTTTGTTGGAGCACAAAAAGAATATAGCAGAATATGATACCAGCAGGTTGAGATGTTGACTTGGAATTCAAAGTTCTCTCTCTGACTATATGTTTGTGATAGTCTGCTGCTTTATATATTATAAAATGGCAAGATCTTAGAGTATAAGGTTCTACCAAGGTACAGCAAGAATCAGCAGTAGTAAATGATGATCCACCCCCGTAGCTCTGTGTCATCACCAACTGGATTGTAAGGCATGTTGGTCCAGCCAAGAGCCGTGCCTTGGCTTCTTTGAGAGCCTAGTCAGCACTTACAAATTTAGCAGAGGGTACTTTTTGAGAAAGATATGACACTGATTTATGTTGATGTCCTTAAAATCTTGCAGAATTCTATGTGACGCTCAAATTTTAACTTTAGATCAAAAAAACCTGCTTAAATCTGTACTGAATTTCCTTCAAATTTGTTCTGATTTCACAATTTGGATGTGCACTTACCATGAATTGTGAAACTAAAAATATTTATTATCAGTAAGCTCAAAACCTAGCAGATTGTAGTTATTTTATGTCCTTCAGTCAGCCTATAGATATAACTGTAGATTCCTGCTAGTCAATCCAAAGATATGTGGAACTTAAAATGTAAAGGTTACTACATCAGTTTCTGCTTATTATTTAAACACTTTTTTTTTAGATCCAACCACTTCCGTCTCCTGTTTTCACTGAAAAGGTTCTTACAAATAGTATAAAACTTTCCTGGAATCTAGCACCAGGTTATGTTCTCCTCGAGCTTTTTCTTGCCTCTTTTTTTCATAATACTGCACCATCCTCTTTCTTGTTTTGGTCCAGTCAGATGTTTCTCATGTCCGAACACTTTCTCCATGAGTGAACACACACCGGTGACATGTTCATGTGCTGTTCAATGCTCCAGATAGAAAAGTATTTAAAGGACCACTATAGGCACCCAGACCACTTCAGCTTAATGAAGTGGTCTGGGTGCCAGGTCCATCTAGGATTACCCCTTTCTGCTGTAAACAAAGCAGTTTCAGAGAAACTGCTATGTTTACCTATGGGTTAATACAGCCTCTAGTGGCTGTCTCATTGACAGCCGCTAGAGGAGCTTCCGCGCTTCTCACTGTGATTTTCACAGTGAGAAGACGCCAGCGTCCATAGGAAAGCATTGAG